AGGTATTGGTGATCGACGGGAGCATACATGGGGCGAGAGATGACAGTGTCATCCGCGAATAATGCACATGAGGAGTCAATGTAGCGGGGCAGGTCATTGATGAACAAGTTAAATAGACAAGGACCTAATACGCTGCCCTGTGGGATACCGGATGTTGGTGAACTCCGTGAAGAGAAATATCCTTTGTACTGAACACGCTGTTGACGTCCAGACAGGAAAGACCGAATCCAGTACCATACGTCACCAGTAACATTATATAATGAAGACAATTTGTGCAATAGAACATCGTGAGGCATGCGGTCGAAGGCTTTTGAAAAGTCGAAAAAGACTGCGTCAATACGGGGCGGGCGACGTTGATCTAAGATAGACATCCACTGGTGAGTAATGGTCAGAAGTTGGGTCACACATGATTTTTTAGATACAAAACCATGCTGGACCTGTGATGAAAGGCAATTCGATTCCATGTGATTGCAGATTGCCCTAGAAATGAACGATTCCATCAATTTACTAACAATGGACGTTAGTGCTACTGGACGATAATTTGTTACAAGCGACCGATCACCAGCTTTGAAAACAGGTGAGATATTAGCCTGTTTCCACGAAGATGGTAGAGATTGATGTCGAAGAAACAAGGCGAATAGACGCTGAAGAATTGGTGAGATAACTTTTACAGATTTCTTAAGCATCGTTGGCGTGATAGAATCAGGTCCTGGACTTTTCTTATCTTGTAGAAGCATTATAGCCTTTGCTATATCACTAGTAGATATCTCGACGGAACAAAGTGGAGGAATCAGATGAACACACGCGTCAGGAACGTTTGGTAAGTTACTAGGAGGAGGGTAAATAGACTGGAAGTAAGTTGCAAACCTTTCTGCAATGTCGTTTGGTTTATTGATGACGTTGTTGTTATCAACGAGGACCGGAGGGGCCAAGCTAGTCTTTCTTGACCTAACATAGGCAAAGAAACGTTTTCGGTTATCATTCAATGTAAACAGGTGGTTGACATACAACCAGTATGAACTGTTAATCATGCTCTTCGTTTTATTCCGGACTTCTTTGAACTTCATCCAGTCACCTGAACTATTAGAGCATTTAGCAATTGTGAAGAGCCTATGTTTCTTCCTAATAAGGCCCTTGATTTCTCGAGTGATCCACGCTTTTGTCTTCTTGGATCCGGATAACTTGTGTGGTATGGCATCACGGGAAGCTGCCAACAACAAATCAAGGAATCCTTCCCAAGTGGCATCAACATCATTAGGGTCAAAATACAGGTCCCAGGGAGCTAACTCCAACAATTGATTGAAATGGTCAAAGTCGGCTTTTTTGTAGAGGAGATCCCAATGAAGTTACAGTAGTAACATCGTGATGTATGGAACAAAAATGTAATTAGGTCTACTATGAATGGCCTCGAATTGTCGGAAATCCCTTCAACCGAGACTTATAATGTTATATTGAAGTTTTTCTAAATATATCATACTCTTAAGACCATTGCTTAAACTATACAGGGAAAAAAATGAATAGGAAAAGATCAATTGCATTCTTCAGAGCTCATACTTCTGATAATGCTTGCCACAGTACACTTTGAAACACTGTGGCATATAATAATAATAATAATAATAATAGCTCACATTTATAATGCGCCTAATACTTTGTTTCCAGGCGCGGAACATATTATTACGCCGGTCATCGGATTCAGGCTTACCCGCAACACAATGTATGCACATTTCCACTCTCTGGGGAGTATTCCAGCCAGTCGTCATTTTACAAGCGCCATTTGCTAATCCAACCACATTAACTTTTGCATCCTACAGGATGCCCATTTTAACACCTGGGTGGAGAGTGGCAAATGTAGATCAATGTCTTGCCAAAGGACATTAGTGCTGCGGCGGGACTTGAACCGCGGAACTTTTGATCCACAGTCCGGTGACATATCCACTCGACCACGACACCTCTATCCATAAATTCATAATCAAGGGTTGAAACCCCACTATGAAGGGAAGACGGGGTAAGGGATCATAGGACATCCCCTCCTAGTGCATATGAATTGGCACCAATTTATCTGCAAGAACTAATCCAGGAATACAAACCCTAACGAAATCTACGGTCATCTTCACAATCATACCTCGTGTCTACTTCGGTGTCAACCCTTTCTTATGGTCATCGCTCTTTTTTCAAAGCTTCTGCTGGCATTTGGAACAAACTACATGTACCTTTACATGTCAAAAACTATCAGAGTGTCAACCAATTCAAAACTTGTTTCAAGACATATTTATTCAAAATTGATTTTGATGATTAACTTAATCTGTTCACATTGATGTATATTTCATATTTATTGTAATCTGTAGGTTTATTTTTAATTTATTGTTTTCTTCAATATGTAATTGTTTATCATTGTATTTTGTTTGTTATAGCGCTTGGAGACTTCGGTGGTAAGCGCTTTATAAGCACCGTTTTTATTATTATATTATATCTAGACCTACTTCAATCTTACCTATATTGGCCTAAAAAGGGGGCGGACACTGCAGTTCTTTCCCTAGCTGGATACGCCATTTGACACATAAAGGTCTTGACCTGCATTTTACCACTGTTTGCGATGTTTAGTCAACTGTCACGTAAATGTCCTTTTGTTATTGCCAAAGTGACATGTAAGGAATAATATTTACCGAGAAAGGTTGCAGGTCTGTTGGCAAACGTCTAGAACGAATCGAAGCTAAAATATTGGAGACTAATATAAACAGGAAAGGAAAGAAAGGAACAGAATTAAAGGAAAAGAAAAAACGAACAGGTGGGGATTCTCAATGCTCATGATGATAGATCACAATTTCATTCATTTCAGAGCAGTTGTTTTTCCGTGATGATCATTGCTTTTAAGCGAACTTTGAAATGGTAAAATTAATCTTAAAAGTTCAGAACCTAAAACATGTACCACAGTTTACAACACCACACATGCCCCTCCCCAGAAAAAACAAAACACAATGTTTATTATAATAGTAATAAACAAATAAAACAAAAATACAAAATGATGATGATGATAAATAATTCAAGAAAATATATATTTTTGTAATGAAATATAAAAATCAATAATCGTCTGTTCCGGTTTTACAAACGCAAATAAACAAAATCGTGCAGAATTTCTATTTCTCTGCTATCTGGCCACATATACATGATACATACAAAGAGGTCTTATCATCGTTTGTTTCAATTGCCTTTAAAGTTATGCATAGTAAATGCTGAAATAGTCAAAAGTTTGTGTGTTACATTTTCATATCCCCTCTCTATTTCTCTCTCTCTCTCTCTTCCTCTTTCTATCTCTTCATGCTGTTTCTGTTTACCTATCAAACTCTCATTTCCTCTTGCGCAAACAAGCACACCTTTAAACTATAATCAATATAAAGAAGATTAACAGGTTGAGTATGGTTATGTTTTTTATTTGTCATTATACTTTACCTTGATTATATAATGTGTAAAAACATATCAATACTATAGCAAACATTCACGCCTATGATATATAAAGTACATATGATAGTATCTCTTGAGTAAATACAAAACAAAAATAATATCACATTTATATTAAGTCTTACATTTCGACAATGACAACAGGTCTCAAGCAAGACTATCGGTCTGGAGCAAATAGTATATATATGAGCGTGTGGAGCCGTTATATGACTTTATTATGTGTGAAAGAAAGTAATTAATAGCTGAGAAACATGCATTGCCATAATTTCTGCAATACACAAGCAAGTAAATTAATAAGACAAACGATGTTATATGTTTGTTATTAACGTTAATAATTAGTTAACATTTATTCTAAATTTGGAGTAATGCTTAATTACATACTTTTTAAATTATTCATATTGTCTCCATGTATCTTTTTAATGATTTTCTTCCATATTTGTACAAATTATCATGCCTATTTTCTTTATAAGAAAGATATTCATGTACCATGTGAATAAAGTTTTCTAAAAAATACAAAAAATGCAAATAAAGAGGAAAGAAAGACTCGCCAGACCCTGGATCTAATTGTCTACCATAACTAATATAAGTTAGACTCGTCGTAGGTGGCTTTCAGTGATTTTCTTCAGTGTTTGTAATCTCGTTTGTATTTCAGTGGTTCTGACGACATGATCAATGAAGATTATTTTAGACTGGAACTCACGATTGCTGTCCATTATCCGATGTCATTTCCAAGACTCAAGATTTTCTTTTTAGAACGATTTACGAACTGTTTACAAACTTTTAAGGTAATGGTTAGAAAATCAGTTTAGATGGAAATGGAATGCAACATAATTTGGTTGGTTATTTGCATATTGCTCCGGTTGTCTCATTTTCGCCAGCACAAACGTAGCTAGTTCGCCGTCTATAGAACGTATATAGCAGACGGCAATCGGCAAATCAGATGACACTTGATAGGTGATTTTGTATTTGAGATTGATTTGCTTAATATAAAATACAAGAACCTTTTCCATATCTTTAAACTATCATTGATATCTGATAATTAAACAGTAAGTAAAATAAACCTACCAAACTACATAATACATTGAAATACTTGACTGAAAGTAGGGGAGTTTGATGTGGTGCACAATTGCACCCCTCTGTTGATAATCGAATAGTCCATGTGTGTCATAAATATTCATGTTTTTGCTTACCTCGGCAAAATGTTTGCCTATACTAAATGGACAAATTACGGTGGGGGTTGGCTGAAGTGGACATAATGAACCAGGCGGAACTGATCTATGATAATTCATGCTTCTTATCCTTCGTGTGCTTGACCTAATCTTACAATCGCGTGGTAAATTGCGTCCAAAGTTCGACTTGTTACACATGCGTTATAATTGCAATGGCGAGCTTGCGACCTATTTAGATCAAATTACGGTGGGTGAACTTTCAAAAGTCAATGGGGCATGAGAGTTCCAATGAAAGAGCTAGCGTCAAAGTACGTCGGGGTGGATGGGCTTTTCGTTTAAACAAAAAATGAATTTTGAACGATTTTTTGGGGTAAAAGTCCATAGGCTAACATGTTTATAGGCTGCTGGACTCTGACGATAGGGGGCGTTCTCAAATGAGACTAAACGGGGCTATATGGTTGGCCGTCTCATAAACAATCTTTGATCATTTTTCAAGGTAATAGTTTCAATGCGAATAGAATTTTCATTGGATTTTGAACAACTGATAACGTTGTTCTGTTTTCCCTTTAACTTTTAGGGATATTTGCACATTCTGAGCAATTTTGAATAAGGAAGAAAACAAAAACGCTTTCACGAAATTTACAAGTGAAATGATAGGCCATCAGGCTAAAGTAGATAATCCCACAAAGGTATATACAAAAATGACGATTAAGTTTTTATTACTTTATATTGGCCCTGTATTCTCAAAAGCCTCAACTTACCTATCTACATGTAAGTGCCTTTAGTCGATTCAGTCGATTGAGAGAGTGCCAATTTTCAACCCCTATGCTTTTCAAATCAATGTAATTCTGAAACTTAACGAAAACTGAAAATAAAATGTCTATGTGTAATTGATTTCACGGTTGTATGTCATAACGAATCGAGTTTGTTCATTTGTTTCTTTTTAAAAAATTACAGTAATGTTTTTGTTTAAAGTATAGGTTGACACTTGGCCTTTCCTAAGTTGGAACTAATTAGTCACATGCAGACGACCGGTGGCAAGCGATCACTACTTATAGATGATGTCGGAATAACCAACAGGCCAATATCATTCCGACTGACCACACAACGTCCCAGTTGGCGTTGGCACCGCAGCGCGTCGGCTGGTCATCGCCGCTCGGCATGGGAGCCGCATCACCTTCGCAGATACCGCAGCTAGCCGCACACATGACTTCCATGAATTCCTTGCTTGTGTCACAGCGGCCTTCTCTCATCCACACCCCGCAGTTGCCATTGGAGTCAGCACATTCAGCTGGTTACAGGAAGGAAACAGGAAAACGGGCGAAAGACGAATAAAAGTAAATATTTTAAATGACGGTATATACATATTAACCAAACGTATGGTATTCAAACTTGGTTCGTAGAGGTTGATGTACTATGTAGCTTGATTTAGTTTTTGAATACAGGAGAAGAAAGGGAGAAAGAGAGAGGGGGAAAGAGGGAGGGAGACAGACAGACAGAGAGCGGGAGAGACTGCAGAGAGGAGGGAGACTCTCGCAGAGAGAGAGACAGAGGGAGACAGACAGACGGAGAGAGTTATGGGAGAGACAACAGAGACAGGGGGTATAGGAACAGAGAGAGAGAAATCTAGGAGATAGAATGTGACAATAACTAAAGAGAGACTTTCGTGTTTCCAAGAAGTTAATGGGGACTTTTAGATTTGCACAACGACAACGTGGATTGCTACGATCGACGTCCTTTTAATGCACTGCCTTGAATGGACGTCACACGTATCAGTCCACGCAAATCTAAAAGTCCCTAATATTTCATGAACTTGTACAGAGTCATCTTATCAATGGTACTGAACTTGCAGTTGTTAGAGCGCCAGCTATAGTTCGCGATTAACAAGACACAATTTCGAAAGTCGTTACCAGACATAGATCTACGTCCTTCAAAGGTAAAAACTTATAAATACTTCAAATAACAGTTACCCACCGGCAATGCACTTATCATCATCACCATCATCACCATATACCACCAACACCATCATCATCACCATCACCACCATACACCATGCACCACTACCATCATCCTCAACATCGTCATCATCATCAAAATGATCACCACTATCGGATCATAATCATCATCATGACCATCATTGTCATCATCGTCATCACCGTCATTTTCATCGTCATCACCGTCATTTTCATCATCATCATCACCATCATTAATATCGTCATCATAATTATCGTCGTCATCATCATCATCATTATCGTCGTCACCCTCAACTTCATCATCACACACCTCCGGCCGGCGTGCAAGATTGGGGTTATATAATTATACTCACGTGTGAGAGTGATATTCTTGCCACACAGATTGCAGCTGGACATGCATTCGGCGTGCATGTAAGCTGGGTTCTTTTCACATTCACCATACTTGGCCCAAGTGTCACAAAGCTCGTGATTGTCCATACAGTCTGACCGTAGTACAATTCAAGAGGGAGAGAGAGAGAGAGAGAGATAGAGAAATGTTTGGTTCATATTATAATGAAAGGCCTTCAATTACTTTTTGATACCATTTATTTCGCACATCGGATATCGCCACGGTAATACCATGCGCGGCCCTGTCTTGTAAAGAGTAACGCTTGATCCAGACTGATCAATTATGAATTGAAAATGATTGAAATATAAATTGTGTTTTTACTTTAATCCACATTTAATGCCATTCTCTATCCAGGTGTAGACGGGTAAATGGCAATGACTAGGGTAATAATAATTGTAGGCCCCTCAGGAAGAAATATATTTATGCTGACAGGCGCGTACGCAGGATTTTTTCAAGGGGGGGGTTTTACTTTATAAATCGGTCCGAAAATTTCGCACGACTCAGCCAGCCGCTGAATAAGCGGGGGGGGGGGGGGGGGGGGGGGGGGGGGGGGGGGGGGGGGGGG